GAGCCGCGCTCGGCGCGTGATGCGCGGCGCCTTCGCTGCTCCGCGGCCGCGGCCGCTCCCCGCGGACTTGGCTCTGAAACGCTCATCAAAATAAAAGCCCCGGGTTTTGTGCGTTGGGGGATGATGCCGGTGCGGTTGCTTTAAGGCAGTTTGGAAAGTGTAAACACTTGATTACGTTTTCAGTACTGAAGAATGAAATCAATTGTATTAGGTGTTGGCTGGGGCTCTAACTCGCGTAAAGAAATGTCATTTCCGTGCCTACCTTTCACACAGGCGATTTGAGGTGTTCCTGGGTGCGCTTAGGATGCACATTTTCTGCAATTTCGCTTACTTAGAAATACAGTTGCATGTGTATCTCACGTGTCTTCGGTTTAATATACCCCCTCTCCCTCAAAAAGAGGAGGAAAAAGCTAGCTACTCCTTTCCCAGATGGCATTCCTGCCGTGGATTTTTTTTCTCCCGTTTTTAATTGCCAACTTGAAATGGGGCTGTGATTGTAGAATTGATTTGTTCTTCATCCTGAAAGTTATCTTCCCAGGGCAGTTGCTTGCTGGTAATGTAGCCTTATCAGCCTAAATCAACAAAGAGAAACCCACATTCAGCTTATCTTAACTGCCAGTGCAGTATAGCCGGTTCAGATTTGCTTGATGACATTCTCAGTGTAATTGTAAGCCAGGCGTGGTTGTGCTTGCTTGTCATCCCAGCACGCCGGGATGCTGAGGCAGGAGGATCACAAGTTCAGTTTTAGCCAGGGCAATTTAACGACTTACGGAGACCTTGTCTCAAAATAAAAAATTTTAAAAGGACCGGGGATATAGTTCAGTTTTAGTACCCTGGGTTCAATCCCCAGTAGGAAAAAAAAAAAAAAAAAAAAATTGACAAAGTTATATTTGTTTCAAATGATTCGCAACAATTTTGTGGTTGTATTGGTGAGGTGTGCTTTGTCATTTTAGTTTTTTATTCGTAGGCCTCAACTGGTTGCCCTTTCTCCTGTGTGACTTTAAAAAAAAAATTATAAGATCAGAATGGGTGACACAGTGCCCTAACCATAATTGTAGAGGCAGAGATAATCTTGAACTTTGAGAATTAGTTGTGTTTTTTGACAAGCACGCCTCATTTATATCAGCTTTATAGTAATTTTTACTGAAATAACTGCGTTGGCAGTTTTTCAGTTTCTAGAGGCAGTTTGAACTTGGTAACATTTATTTGGGAAAATTAGTTGGGACAGTGGGATTTAGAAAGGGAAGATGCTTGGAGGTTATTCTTAGGGAAAACTTGTGGGCAGGATGAAAAGCCCTGATCTGGAATTGAGGTAATAAAGGTTTTAGTTTTTACCGCCCCTTAGTACCTTCTACTTTAAGGCAAGGCACTTAGTGTCTCTGGACCTGCAGATTTTTCCTAGGCATGGTGGCATACGCCTATAATTCCAGTACTTGGGAGGCTGAGGCAGGCCAGCCTGGATTGCAAAGCAACTTCGGGGCCTGCCTGAACTATAAAGTGAGACTGTCTCAAAACAAACACTCCCCCCCAGACCATTTTTGACTCTGATTTTAAAAATAATAATCCAGCAGCAAACCCTAATAGTAATTTTCTTTCTTTATTTTAGTCTTTTTCTCTCTCTGTATGGTAACAATTTTTATCTTGCTTTTAACATTATAGCTTAAGTATCTTTCCTTGTTATTACATCTTCTGAATAAAACAGATTTGGAGACTGCATGTTTTCTTTTTTTCTTTTTTTTTTTGACAGTACCAGGCATCGAACTCAGGACCTTGCGCTTGCCAGGCAGGCGCTTGTGCCGCTGAGCTATATCCCCAGCCCCTGTTTTCTTAAATTTTTTTTTTTTTTTTGTCTGAGAGGAAGTCTTGTTATGTTGCCCAGACTGTGTGGCCAGATCTTCTTGCCTTGGCCTCCTGAGTAGTTGGGACGACAGGAGTGTGACACTGCCTGGCTCCCACTGTTGGTCTTCTAGAGTTTTTCCAAAATAATGCTCTTATAAATAGAGCTGACATGAATGCTCTTGATCATAAATGTTCTCAGTTTGGACTGTCTTATCTAGAGTAACAAAAGCACGGTACCTTTTAAAGCTCTTAATATAGAAGTTTTTAATTAATTATTTAATCTAATCACAAGTGACCTGCCAGCCAGTTTCTGTGTGAACGAGTTAGTGCTGGGGATTGAACTGAGAGCCACATGCTAACCAAGCGTTCTATCACAGAGTTACACCCTCACCCCCTTGTTTAGTTTTGATTTACAGTAGCTCAAGCACACCCTGCCTCAGTCTGCTGAGTGGCTGGGGCTGTGGGCTTGCAGCACACCCAGTTTGGGTTGGTGGTATTTTGACAGTTGCTCTTAGCTAGTGGCAGGTGTAATATGCTTGTGATCGCCTACAAATGTATGTACAGTGCTTGGTTTTCATTTCTCCTACTGGCACAGTAGCCAGGTGCAGCCTTTCTCTTCAGCCAACAAGTCAGTTTACCTAAAAACTTTTGTACCTGGTGGAAGCAAAGCGCCATCATCGTAATTTTTTCTCATGCTTGTAAGAAAATAGTAGCACCTAAAGTGGAGTACTTCTGAGAAATACTTGTCACCTCCACATGATAACAAGAAGAATAATGTTGGAGAAAATATGGATATTGATGACTTGAGTTAAAAAATGATTCATAAAAGTATAACTATTTTTTGTTTTGTACACAGGGTCTCGCTTTGTAGTTCAGGCTGGCCTTGAAATCATTATGTAGCCCGGGTTGGCCTGGAACTCATGGCAGTCTTCCTGCCTCAGCCTCCTGAGTGCTGAGATTACAGGCATGCACCACCACGCCTTAGCAAGAGTTGAATTCTTTTTTTTTTTTTTTTTTTGTGGGTACTGGGAATCAAACTCAGGACTTCGCGCTTGCTTGTGCCACTGAGCTATATCCCACTCAAGTTGAACTCTTGAGTGTGAAAAAGTTTTAGAAATGCATTACATTTATGCCATTTGTATTTCCTTTTTGTGTTTACATGAAAGCCACATGTAATAAAATTCTAAGGGTCTGTTTCTGTAAATGTAGTCAGAATATCAATAAATGAGAAAACGTTGTCATAACTTTACTGCCAGCATATTTTACTTGAAATAAAATATTTTGTGTGAAAGTGGTGTATTTTATAATAAATGCCATTTTGATTGAATAACGGTATTATATTGATTCTATTTTCGTTAGCTCCAAACTTTAAACAAATAGTAATTATACAGTGTTGAACCTGATATTCTTCGCCATAAGTAGGGAACGTGGGCTGCAGGTGTAGCACAGTGGTTGAACGCTTGCCTAGGAAGTATGAGGGCCTAGCTTCAGTCCCTCGCGCTGCAGACAAAACAAGATAAAAAACCAAGACAAAACAAAAACTTGTTCAGCCCTGCTTTGAGATAGAAGCTTTTTCATGTAATCATAAGTAAATGTATACTTCTTTGAGTTGAAATTGCCAATTTTTGGAGGAAAAAATAAAAGCAAGGGGGAGATTTTTCGTAAGAATGGTGGTAGTGGCGCTGGGGCTTTAGCTCAGTGGTGCAGCGTGAGGTCGAGTTTGACCCCTCGTGCCCCAAAGAGCAAAACAAAACAGCATGGCAGTAGTCAAACAAGATTCCCTGATGCGAGCTGGGCGTGGTAGGGGTGCCTGTGATCCCAGCACTCTTCGGACGCTGAGGCAGGAGGAGCACGAATTCAAGCCTAGCCAGGGCCACTTAGGGAGACTGTCTCTTAAAATACAAAGGGCTGGGGGTGTGCAGTGTGGAGACCCTCGGTTCAATCCCCAGCCGCCTCATCCCCAGGAAAGTAGATTAAAATTGAGAAATAGTAGCGTTCTATTATGTTAGAATTTTTACTTCTTGTAAGGGGAAAAAATTTTTTCCATCTGATCTGATTTATGTACCACTTAACATAAATTTATTGGTTTGTTTTATTCAGACAAGGTCTTTACTGGGTGTATTTGAAGAAGATGCTACAGCTATTTCCAACTACATGAACCAGTTGTACCAAGCGATGCATCGGATTTATGACGCACAGGTAAGAAAGCTAAGGGCTGACACAGCGCTGTTTACAAAGGAACCGTTAAGCCCTGTGTCTTGTGTACTGGTGCTAGCCCTGCCCTGGGTGAGAAGTATTTGTGAAAAGGATGGATGAATATTAAGTGTGTTGTATTATAGAGCTTACTTTTCCGTTACTAGTGTATGCTTTGTAGCACTGCAAAAGTGACAAGATTTTGTCTCCTCTGTCCCTTCCCCAAACAGTAAGGGCTTCCTTACTGCAACTCAGGGGTACTTCCCCTTTCTGAGCAGAGGATTTGAGGGCAGCCTGTCTCTAGTTAGTAAAAGGTAATAAAAAGTTAATACAGCTCTGGGGTATAAGGAGATGAGTTTAAGGAGGCTGTGGTGCGATTTTCTTATAGAATAGACATAACTCTTGAGTTTGTATAACTTAATTGTAAGTTTTAACAGTAGCCGGGGTTCTATGATGTACTTTCATTCCGATTAATCAAATGTAAATTTTGTTTCCTTATTCTTCTCTCTTTCTGGATTCACATTTTCATTATGTGCTTAGAGTTTGCAGTGATAAGCCGGGCATGATGGTGCACGCCTGTAATCCCAGCACCGAGGGAGTCTGAGGCGGGAGGATAGAATGTTTGTGTCCCTCCTGGACAACTTAGCAAAAACTTTCTTGAAATAAGAAATTTATAAAAGGTTTGGGAATATAGCACAGTGGTAGAGCGTCCCTGGTTTCTAAGACCACCACCACTACCAAAAGAAAAAAAAAAAAAAAAGATGAAAACGTTATGGCCGGGCGTGGTGGTGCACACCTGTAATCCCAGTACTAGGGAGGCTGAGGCAGGAGGACTGCCAATAGTTTGAGGCCAGCCTGGGCTACCTAGTGAGTTCAAGGCCAGTCTGCATTACAGAGGGAGGCATTGTCTCCAAAGAATAAAAAAAGTTGCTATGGTAGTTGTTTAGTTTTTTTACTTGTCTCAAATTTTTGACCACATATATTTAATTAATATATGAAAAAAGTATTATTTTTGCATTGTATTTTTTACTGTAAAAGAATTTTTAAAATGGAAAAGTCTTAAATATGACTGTGTTATGAGTAACTCAACCGCATTTTGGTTGTGTGTTGTTTTGTTTTGTTTTTTGAGACGGGGTCTTGCTATGTAGTTCAGGCTGGCCTTGAAATCACTATGTAGCCACAGGCTAGCTTCAAATTCATAGCAGTCTTCCTGCCTCAGCCTCTCGAGCGCTGGGATTACAGGCATGCACCATCATACCTGGCTTAATTGTCTGTTATTAAATGCTTATGATAGTCTGCTATAGGCATCTGAAGAGAATAATAGTCACCCATCTAGAATCTCCATAACAATTTTGTTAATGTTCTATACAGTTTACTTCTAGCTTTTAAAATATTTAATACTTAATTTTTAAATTTTTGGTACCGAGAATCGAATTCAGGACCTTGCGCTTGCCCGGCAGGCACTTGTGCTGCTGAGCTGTATCCCCGGCCCTAATGCTTACTTTTGATTAGCCAGACAACAGCAAAAAAGAACATACCTGGGATATTAGTGAGTTCTTTGACACTGTCTCTTGTGATTTGTTTTATTTTTATTTTTATTTTTATTTTTTCCACCCGGTACCAGGAATTGAACTCACGACCTTGTGCTTGCCAGGCAGGTGCTGTGCCACTGAGCTAAATCCCCAGCCCCTGATTTGTGTTTTCCTTTCAAATGCTTTAATGGTACTTGCCTTTCCAGTGATTTAATGAGGGTTTTTAAAAAATGCATTGTTTAATATCTGTGTAACAGTAAGTAAAAATGGCCTAGTTATCTTCAGTTAAAACTTGTTTTAGTAATATTGTGCTAATTTGAATGCCAATTTTTCCACAGAATGAATTAAGTGCAGCAACACACCTGACTTCGAAACTTTTAAAAGAATATGAAAAACAGGTATGTGCATCAAAGTTTTAGAAGGTGCTTTAAAAAAAAAAATAAATAAAAAACATATATGCATGCTTTAGCATATGCATTGACAGAGTATTTCTACAGTAGACTTTGTCACCAAGAATCCTTAAACTTCGGGTGGGTGTGGTGGCACACGCCTGTAATTCCCACAGTTCTGAGAGATTAAGGCAGGAAGATTGCAGATTTGGAAGTTTAAACCCAACCTGGGTTAGTGACCTGTCTCAGAATAAAAAATAAAAAAAGGGCTGGAGATGTAGCCCCGTGGAAGGCTCTGGGTTCGTTCCCTACTACTAGTACTGCTACTACTACTAAAATAGAATTCTTAAGTTTTCTTGAATTCTCAGAATATGCCATTGATATATTATACTGAGTAGTTTTAATGATTTCATGTTAGATTCAGAGATTATCTTATTTACTTTGTTGTTTTTTTTTTGTTTTGTTTTGTTTTGTTTTGTTTTGTTTTTATCCGGTACCAGGAACCGAACTCACGACCTTGCACTCGCCAGGCAGGCGCTTTTGCCTCTGAGCTAAATCCCCAGCCCCAACTTCCCCAGCCCCTACTTTGTTTTTATAAATGGAGAAACTGAGGCTTACTGAAGGTTACATGGTTAGTTATTAGGGGAACTGGAGCTAACACAAAATCTTGAAACTTTGGTGTTCTGTGCATTGTAATATAACATGTTAGTTGGTTCCTTAGCAAACATGTAAATTAATGTTCATTAATTATTGAAATGACTGTGCTTTATTAAATGACATTTTTGGAGCTTATTCAAAGTTTTAGTTTTCTGGTTACTAAAAAATGTAAATTATGATGTTGTTGTTCACGTGATTCCTATAGTATTGGACTTTTATCTCTGTTTCTTTTCAGCGTTTTCCATTGGGGGGTGATGATGAAGTTATGAGCTCTACTTTACAACAGTTTTCGAAAGTTATAGATGAGGTAAATGTTCTTTTTGTTGGATAGATGTTCTCATATTTGTTACTCAAGTTATTCAGCTTTAATTGGGAACTTCTATTCTGATTATAGGAGTAAAACTTGGTTACAAAGACTACTGAAGAAGGATCTTATTTCCACACGCTGGTTCTGTCTCCTAAAACAATACTTTATCTGTTAAAACAAATTGTTTTCCAGGAAGAAGCTTCAGGATGGGCTTTCTGTACTCCCGGCCCATGTATCACTCCTGTGTTACTTGATGAGGGCGGGGAAAGAGAGATGAAGCCATAGCCGTAGCCAAGCCCTTTGTGATTTTTCTTTCGCCGTGAAGCAACATTTACTGTTCAGTTATCATCCTTATAATTGTTGTTATTACTGTTGTTATTATTGTTACTGTTATTATTAATCTCATTATTTTTGTTAACAGACTACTTAGGAAAATATTTTATAAATGATTGTTCTTCAACTTTAAAACTCCCTAAGATTAAGAAGTGACCATTATTTAGAACATGCTGAAATGAACTGCCTTACTGACCATTTTTTAAATTTTTGTGAATACCAAATTAGGAATAGTCGGATACAGAGATGAATATCTGTAATCCTAGCACTGAGGAGGCTGAAGCAGGAGGATTGTCATGAGTTCAGGGCTAACCTAGGCCAATAAGTGCATTCAAGCCCAGTCTGGACTACATAGTGAGACTCTCTCAAAAAAATAAATTAAAACCAAAAAAAAAAAAAAAACCCAAAATTAGGAATACAAGGATGGATAATTAAATAGAATGAACATTTAAGACCTTGGAAAACACACACAGAAGAAAAGCCAAAGCAGATTTACATGTTTATACTGTCCAGTCCTTAATCCTTTTATCTCAAACAGCAAAATCAACCCTTAATATCTTAAACCATTTGTCATAACAAATAATTAAAAAAAAAACACCAAAAAACTGGAAGCTAGCAGTGAGAAATGTATGGGGAATCTTAATATTCTCAGTTGTGGCAGTGAACGGTCCTTTTTTTTTTTGGACATGAACCATTACTACTGCCTTTAACTGGATATATGTGCCTGCTAGGCAAGCCCTCTTAACACTGAACTATACCCCCAGGCCAACTTAAAAAAATCTTTCTAACTCATTATAACACATTATCCTAGGAGATTAATACAAAGAAATAATACTTACAAGAATTGGAATGAGAAAAAAAAAGGAATTGGGATGTTGGGCCAGGGATATAGCTCAGTGGCTCAGCACCTGCCTGGCAAACTCGAGGTTGTGAGTTTGATTCCCGATACCAAAAAAAAAGAATTGGGATGTTTTCCATTTTTAAAAAATTGTGATAAATACATACAAAACTTGCCACTCGTGAAACTTAAGTATGTTTATAACGTTGCGCACCCCTCACCGTTCTCTAGTTCTAGAACATTTTCATTGTCTCTAGGGAAACCGCCTGCCCTGGAAAAGTTACCGTCATCTTCCGGCTCTCCCTAGTTCCTAGCAACCACTAGTCCACCTTCTGTCTCTATAGATTTTCCAGTTTTGTATACTTAACATAAATAGACCCTTATATTTTGCGGACTTTTGTGTCTGTCTGCTTTTACTTAGCATGTGTTCAGGGTTTATCTGTGTTGTAATATGAGTCAGCACTTAATTTCATATTTATTTATTTTTTGCTGAATAAAAATTTCATTATATGGATATAGCACACTGTGTTTATCCATTTATTATGGACATTTGAGTTTCCACCTTTTGGCTAGTTAAAACAGTACTACAGCATTCATATGCAAGTTTGTTTTGTTGAACACTAAACAACAGTTCTTTGGGGTATATACCCAGAGTGGGATTGCTTGATCATTTGTGTTTGACTTTTTCTTTTTTTAAGACAAGGTCTTACTATATGGTTCAGGCTGGCCTTGAACTCACTGTGTAGCCCAGAGTGATCCTCCTGCCTTAGCCACCCGAATCCTGAGATTACAGGCATGCACCACCGTACCCAGTTATGTTTAACTGTTTGAGGAATCACCAAACTGGTTTTTTAAAACTTTATTTTAATCAACTAATTAATTAATTTAGTTTTTTTGAGACAGGATCTTGCTGTGCAGTTCAGGCTGGCCATTAGCTCACTTTGTAGCCAAGGCTGGTTTTGAACTTATAACTATCCTCTTGCCTCAGTCTCTGGAGTGCTGGGATTACAGGCATGCGCCACCACACCCGGCCTTTAATTTTATTTTAGAGGAAAAAAAATTTCAAAAAAGGATAATTGGAGAGTAGCAATGATTAATACATTGCGTGTTGTTACCTATAAATTAGTTACTCAGAGTATAAGATCACATTTTTTTATAATGCTCATACCATTTATATTCCCCTGAGCAAGGAGCAAGGTTCTCCCTTTACTATATCCTTGTTCCCGACAACTTTTTCTTTTTTTTCAGTACTGGGGATTGAACCCAGGGCCTTCATACTGAGGTACATCCCCAGACCTTTTATTATTTTTATTTTAAGACTTGGTCTCACCAAATCACTAAGTTGCTGTGGCTGGCCTTGAGCTTGCAAACTTGTGGTCCTCCTGCCTCAGCCTCATGGAGTGCTGGGGTTATAGGTACGTACCACTCTACCCAGCTCTTTATCCATTTTTTAATTGAGTTATTTGTATTGTAAGAGTTCTCTATTCTAGGTACAAACTTATTAGATAGGTCGTTGGCAAATATCTTACTCTGTTATGTGAATTATCTTCACTTTTTGGATAGTATCATTTGACACACATAAGTTTTTAATTTTGATGAAGTCCAAATTACATTTTCTTTTGTTCCTTGTACACTTGCTGTCATAGCTAAGAAGTCATTGCTAAATCCAGGATCTTCCTGTTTTAGTTTAAGAGTTTTAAATGGAAAATTTTGACTGTACAGTATTTTGTACTATATCAGAGTTTTTAGTGTTTTCTTGTATAAAGTATGTCAGCCTTTTAAAGTAGTTCTGTTTCGTTTACGTAAGACTGGTTAAATGTCTCTGTAGACATTTATTGTAAATGTTATCTGTTAGTTATTTGGCCTCTCTGGTCTTTTTTTCTTAACTAGCTCAGCTCGTGTCACGCGGTCCTTTCAACTCAGCTTGCCGACGCCATGATGTTCCCCATCACCCAGTTTAAAGAAAGAGATCTGAAAGGTACTGAAGTCAAGCTTGTGTTGTTTGTTTTATTTTATTTTTTAATTTTTTTTAAATTTTTTTTGGTTTTTCTCCGGTACCGGGAACTGAACTCACAACCTTGCGCTTGCCAGGCAGGCGCTTTTGCCGCTGAGCTAAATCCCCAGCCTCAAGCTTGTGTTGTTTGTCAGTTGTCAGCTGCGTGCTGTAAAATGTGATTACTCTGTACCTAACCGTCTCTGACCACAGCCTCGGCTGCGTTTACTTCAGTCGCTCTCCGGATGTTTATAGGCGCTCTGGATAGCTACTGACATAGATACTGACAAAGAGCGGTAAGAAATCCCTGCCCTTGGGAGACCCTAGAGGAGGTGGTAAACCCACAGTGTGTCTCTCGGAATCAGGGAGTGGGAAGGTGCTGTGGGGCGCGGAGGGGAGGTCAGAAAGGGTTCGTGAAGATGTGGGCCCTGGGGAGTGGGGAGGAACTTGCCAGAAGCGAGCCGTTTTCTGTTAGAGGGACTAAAACGCGCAGAGGTACAGGTTTCGGAGATGCTTAGCTTGTTTTGAGGGTAATGAGGAATTCACTGTGGCTGCCATGTTGGGTTTACGGTACTGGGGCGGGGCAGGAGGGAATTTAGAAGTAGATTACATCATGCTGAAGGCGAGCCTGAGTTTATGACCAGAGAAGCCAGTGGAGGTATGTAAGGAGTAAAGAGATACAGTCTTTCTGTTTTTTGGAGGAAGAAATAGAGTAGATTCGGTGTCTGGGAGACTGGACTGAGAAGCTGTGAGAGGGCAGCGATGTATGATCAGGGCCTCAGTTGGGCTCCGGCGCAGAGTGTGGAGATTCGTTTGGGCTGGGGCAGTGGGAGGAGTAGAGGAGCTGGCACATCTCACAACTTAGTGACTTAGTAGTTTGTGGATGTTTTGTCCATTTACTGTTGCTAGGTGAAAAAGCGAGCGTTTTGTAGAATTGGATCTTTTTTTCATAATTTATAAATTCATTTATATAGACTTATTTCTAAAATATGCAGATGGAATAGAAACAATGAGCTAATAATGTATCAGTCGTTTGTAAAATAATTAAACTATACATGGAATAAAGACAAATATATGGCCGAGACGGAGTAAGTAATTGTAATGATCCTTAACGATGGTTATTTCGGGCTGGGGCTGTAGCCCACCGGCACAGCGCCTGCCTGGCAATCACAAGGTCCTGAGTTCAATTTTCAGTACAAAAAAAAGGAATGGTTATTTCTAAGGTCACGAAACAGTCTTTTTCTCCATGATACAAGGGGACCAAGTGGCGTAATCTTAGCGATAAAATGAGCTTTTTTCTCATTCAGCATTTGAAATTGTGAGAATCATATGTCAGAAGATGAGTTAATAAGCACTAAGTCATAATATTGGCGTATTGTAACACAATAATGGGTTTTGAAATTTGTTTCGTGTCATATTACTCATTTGTATCAAGTAGATTTTTTTGGTGGGGTAGTTGTTGCCAAGGAGAGTAAATGTTTCACAGACTAGCTGACACATACAGTAATTTTACACCTTAAGTGTAAAAGTATAAAATACTAGAGTTTTAACGGTAGTTTTAGTGGCATTTATTGCTTTGTAAACAAACTTTAAGGTATTTCATAAATATGCTAACAGAAATTATTCTTGAACCTTTTCAGAAATTCTAACATTAAAGGAAGTGTTTCAGATTGCTAGTAATGGTAAGCCCTGAATACTTTTTTTTCTTAATACTTTATATACTTATTTTTTTTTGATGCATTTATCAGTTTATAGCATGGTCAGTTCTTTGTAATAATTGAAAAAAATGAACCTAATTCAAACCTCAAGTGAATATTATTTAAATCAGTGTTGCTTGAATACCCTGTTTGCAAGAAAAAATTTAAAAACTTATTGTATCAGTCTTCCAGTTTACTATTCATAATGTCTAAAAAGGTGATACAATACTTTACCTTCCATGCTGGGCCTGGTGGTGCATGCCATAATCCCAGCATTTAGGAGGCTGAGGCAGGGGGATTATTGTGAGTTTGAGGCCAGCCTGAGCTACATAGTGAGTTCAAGGCCAGCCTGGACTACATGAGACCCTGTGTCAAAAAACCAAAAAAACCCCAAAATAACTAAAAACTTTTACTTCCCTTGTTTTTCTGTATATTCCAATTTTTATTTAATGAGCATTTGCTATTTTTGGATTAAAAATACTTTAAAAACCTTTTAGTGGATTATCTTTTCTTTGGGATTTTTTATTTACGAGTTTGATAAGTAGACACAGTTTAAGGGACACTTGGCTGTGGGGAAATTTGAGTATGATGATCGTATGGTAGGGAATTCTTGTTCTAGTATGTTTGGAGAAAGATGCATGTGTGAGGAGCGTTTAGAGCATTCGTAGGCTTTGCGGAGTACTGCCGGATGGTTGTCAGCACTCATTTCTGCCTTCTAGATCATGATGCTGCGATTAACAGATACAGCCGATTGTCCAAAAAAAAAGAGAATGATAAGGTAGGGTACCTGCGTGCTCCCTCACAGTAATGACTGTTCCCTCACGTGGTTTTCCCTGCTTGAAAATAGAGCCAGCAGTTCATGTGTATGCTTTGTTGTATTGTATTTAGTTTATTTTTTATATTTTTTTAAAGAAAAACATTTTTTAAATTTTTAAGTTTTTTTGCATTTACTTTATTCTTGGTTTAAAACCTTTCTAATAGTTGTTGGTGTCTTTAAACAAAATACTTTTCTTCTGGTGAATTTGTTATAATGGAACATAACTATTCTAGAAGTAGAATTGATGCCCGGTATCCCTGCCTCTTACTTACTGATGCCCAGTATCACACTGCCTCTTTCTGCTGTGTATTTTGATAGCAGTGGGTACGCTGTTTTTGTTTGACCATATGTGTACTACTCAGAAATGTCTCATAAAATATGATAGTCAGTAAGTTGAGGGCCAGGGATGTAGCTCAGCGGCACAGCGCCTGCCTCGCAAGTGCCAGGTCCTGAGTTTGATTCCTGGTACCAAAAAAAGGTTGGGTTGCTACATACATAATTCAGAAAAACTGTTATGAGGCCCTCTTCATTTAAAGGGTTATTTGTCTTTTGATACTTCAAGGGGTGAAGTCCAGACATATTTTACTGTACTTGAGAAATGCAGTCAAGTAACGATTAAAGAACAGAATATTAACAGGTTTATCTGGGTGTTCCTTAGATTAGCTTTCTCTCCAGGGCCTAATCCAGGCTTGCTGTGTAGGCCTTCTAGGTGCTTGGGAGTGAGGTGATCGCTATGCCTGGGTCTTGCCGTGTGTGACCTTGGCTGCCGCTGCTGGTACAAACATCGTGAGTGCCCGCGGGAATTCACGCAGGGTGGTATTTGCTGCACCTCAGCCGCTGTGACCATGAATGGGAGCGTCCCCAGGCCTGCTTGCCCTTTCTAGTTTTAGTTCACAAACGGCTTGATGGTGCAGATACTGATAAAATGTGTACATTTATAGATCTCTGTTAGTCTCTTTGCCTTAGAGAAGTAGTTAAAGGCCCTACGTATAAGATTTGGCATATTTTACATTGCATCTGGCTGTTGCAAGTCTTTAAAAAACATTCTTTCACCATTTTTTTAATGTAAAAAATTTCTCAGGAGGCTGAGGCAGGAGGATCCTTGCGAGTTCGAGACCAGCCTGGGCTACAAAGTGAGCTCAAGGCCAGCCTGAAGTGCATAGCAGGACCCTATCTCAAAAACATAAAAAAAAAATAAAAAGTTTATTGAGCACCTGCTTTCAGTATGAGTAGGAACAGTATGAGTAGGCTCCACTCCTGCCCTCATGGAGTGGCTCCTCCACATTTATTGAAGGCTTTTGTATAAATGCATAGGACTGGACTAAGTGCCAGAGTACAAGGATAAAGAGACGGCATGGATTAATGAGAGTTAATCGCAAAAACAGAGGTTTTACTAAAATGCTAAGAGCACAGGAGGGCTCTCATTGATGAACTGGGAAATACTGTACTTTAGAAGGTGACATTTGCACTGAAGGTGAGTGGCTGTCACTGATGTGGAGAGAGGAGCTTTTTTTTTTTCCCTTAAAAATCCTTTGCAGAGGCACCTGGTGGAGCTGGGAGAAGGTCAAGGTTGGGAGCACTTGCCCTGGAGTCAGACTGGGAACAAGTCTCAGCTCTGCCGCTCACTTCCCTGATGTCATGTAGTTCTGCCTAATCTCAAACCTTTATTTTCCTATCAAAAAAGAACAAAACCCACTATATTTGAAGAGGAAGTTAGGTAATGCATGCAGAGTATCTGTCTTACCGGAACTTTCACTAAATTCGAGTTATAATTATTTTGGTGGTGATTGGAAAGAATCATTCTCGTGTGTCTGGAACTTGGGAGGTCTTTGGGGACGTGTAGCAGAAATGACAGCAGAGAAGTGGTTTGAGGCCAGCTCACTGTGCTTGCGGCCTGAGATGTGCATTAGAAGAATTGAACAGCCACAGGGACTCTAGCTGGGTAAACGCCCTGGCGCCCTGCGTGGTAGGACAGAAGCACCAATGCAAACGAGAAGAGGCCGAGACACAGTCCAGGGAAGAGGTTTTGGAGCAGTTCGCAGGGTACCGTAAGGGTCTCAAATAATGTCACTGAGGGAGGAGAGGAAGGGGTACTTTTTACACTGCTGGGGATCGACCCTGCGGTGCACTGCCACGGAGCTACTTTCCCAGTCCATTCTAGTGTTTATTTTTATGTTTTTAAGTTTTGTGTTTCTTAAGACAGGGTCTTACTTTGTAGCCCAGGCTGGCCTCGAACTCTCAGCAGTCCTCTTGCCTTAGCCTTCTGAGTACTAGGATTACAGGTGTGTGCCACCATGCCTGGCTTTATTTTTATTCATTTACTTATTTTTTTGATTAGATTTTATTGGTACATTTTAGATACACATAACGATCACATTCATCATAGAGAATTTGCACCTCTACATGATAGAGCTTGTCCCCCCACTGCTTTCACACTGTCCTCCCCTTATTTTTTACTTTGCAGTAGGGTCTTACTAAATTGTCCAGGCTGGCCCTGAACTTTCGGTCCTCCTTCTTCAGCCTCCCCAGTAGCTGGGACTAAAAGGTGGCCATTAGTCCTGGCTGCGAGATATTTCATAAGCCAAGGCTTTTGGGGAATGGAAAGTAAGTATTAGATTATTTGGATAATTGATAGGTCCTGGAGTAATTGAGAGCTAAGAAATAAAATAGAAGAGCAGGTTTTTTGCCTTCTGTTTTGTAAATTTCCATAAACACACATGTATTACACACGCATTACATCCAGCTAGAGATACGCTTCCTCTGGTCCTGGGCAGAGTGAGAGCAGGAGGTAAAAATGTGTGATCCCTAAGTCAGTGATGCATTGGGATGTTCTTTTTTCCTGTGTGTGTGTGTGTGTGTGTGTGTGTGTGTGTGTGTGTGGTGCTGGGGATTGAACCCAGGGCCTTGCGCATGTTAGAGAAGTGCTCTACCACCGAGCCACCTCCCCAGCCTATTGGGATGTTCTTGATCAGGTACGCTAAGAGAGAAAGAAGGGAGAAGACTGTCATGCCTATTATACAAGAAGTGTTCAGTAAACACCTGTTGTCTGAGTAAGAGAACTTGGAGCACATATTATAGGAGGAGTGAGGAAGACAAGCCTGTGGGACAGAGGGAGAGCAGTAGGTAGAGAACCAGGAGGGAGAGTCCATGCCGTGAACTGACTGCAGCCAGACACCGATGGCGAAGTCACTAGCAGTTGTCTGCCTTTCTTCCGTGCGGCCGACTTTCTCTGCCATACCTACTTTAGATATTTACGTCTCTAATGATAACGTGGATCTGCACCTTATTAACGATGTGTTTGGTAGTTAAACAGAAAAACAGCTTAGCTAATATGTTGAAGGATTTCTAATAGATCAGAAAACAAAAGTTATGTTTGATTGGTAGCGATAACAGTGTTTTTTTGGTAGGTTTTTCCCTGTAGATAACTACTGAAGGTAACCCCAAATTAGGTGCATAATGCTGTTTTAAATCTTTTCATTCAAAGATAAAGTACGAAGTGACAGAAGATGTGTACACTTCCAGGAAAAAACAGCACCAGACCATGATGCATTATTTCTGTGCATTAAATACTCTTCAGTACAAGAAGAAGATAGCACTGTTAGAACCTCTCCTTGGGTACATGCAAGCTCAGGTACATGCCATACTATATTTTGGATTATAATCATCCCAGAAGATTCCTGTCAAGCCTGATATTTACATTAAATGTGAAGATACTACCAACAATTGCCAGTATCCTCATTTGTGTCTGGGTTCTAAAAATTACTTTAAATAATAATTTTAAAATGTCATTGATGCACTATTTTAAGGAAGTTTCCCTTGCAGATAACGATCTCAAGTGGTGTAGAGTACATGAGATCAATGCCCTTGCTTTTTGGCCTTGTCCATCCCAGTTGGGAACAGGAACAGAAAATCAAGTGAATCACAGAGAGTTCTGCTGTAGCCAGAGCCTCTACTCACTCTTGTTGCATAATCTGCAAGAGAATGAGCAAGTTTGAGTTTGTCCCATGTTCCTGAGTTAAAAATGGGAGATAAACTCTAAGGTACCCAAAGGGGTATGCAACAGGAAGGAAGCTAGTAAACTGAGCTTTGAGAAATCTGAGATACGATGCTAGTTCTTTAAAAATCAAGAATTTAAAGGCACTTGAGGGGTCAGGGATTTAGCTCAGTGGTGCAGAGTTCGATTCGCAGTACCCTAACCGCCTCCCCCCAGTAAAGAAACTTGAATATTCCCCTTCAGATAAAAGGGTACATTATTCCTCAGATATAAAGCTTATCACTGTCATAAACATGAAATAGTTTATCCATATGGTTTATTTGAAATGCTCTAAAATTTACTTTCCAGTTTTAAAAAATTTACCATACATTTGCATTAGTTTTCTGTTAAAAAGTATAAAAGGATGTGCATTAGGATTGTGCCTTGTACCCAGTGTTAGAAAATGGAAGAGTCCTTTGTTGTTTTTTTACTTAACCATGTGCCTTAGAGATTGCTTATATGATTTATTTAAATATTTAAGTAATTTTTTGTACGTGTTTGTGCTTGTATCCATCCTTCTTTCATCTCAGATAAGTTTCTTTAAGATGGGTTCTGAAAATCTCAGTGAACAACTGGAAGAATTTTTAGCTAATATTGGAACAAGTGTGCAGAAGTAAGTATTTTTTCCTTAAGATTGAAAATGAAGTGTGGTGAATAAATTAACAGCTAAATGCAAAATTTAAAAGTATTTCCACTTAATTTCCCGAGGGAGTATTTCCCCTACTGTGTTTCTCACATGGTTTGAGGATGCCTCTCCCCACTGTCCTCTCCTTTCTTTTTCTTTCCTTTTCTTGCCGCCTTTTCTCTAGAATATAGACTCTTTTTTTTTTTTTTTTTTTGAGACACGGTCTCACTCTGTAGCCCAGGCTGGCCTTGAATTCACCACGATCCTCCTTCTTAGCCTCCTGAGTGCTAGGATTGCATGCATGTGCTACCACTCCCAATTTAGACTGTAAACTCATAATTTCATGACAATGTCAAATTTAATGAAGGTTTTCAGGGCTAGCTTTTATATTTGAATAGAATAGACACGTCGTAGTAATTATTCATAAGTGAAATTAGCTTCATACTGTAGTGTGGGGCGTGCCTGGGGAGATTACTAGCTAAATCTTGTTTTTTATTCTGTCAAAGCTTAGGTGGAGAAGCTAGCGTTCTCAGTGAGTTTGGAAGTTTGAGCAGTGATACGGGCAGTCATAGGTGTGGAGAGAGAGGACAGTGATTTTTTCCCTTTGGGCAGTGCTGGAGATTAAACCCAGGGCCTTGAGCATGCTAGGCAGGTGCCGTACCACTGTGCTCTGTTCCTGGCCCTGAGAATGATTGTGTTTTGTTTCTTGAGATAGGGCCTCAGCCTTCCAAGTGCTGGGATTACAGGCGTGTGCCACCACACCTGGTGATGATTATGTTTTAAAGGCACAGGACATAGCAGTTTGAAAAGCCTTCCAGAGTGAGGCATTCAGCATGGCTTCAGTAGTTTTTAAATGTATTATTTTCAAAGTGTCTAAATATACTTGAATTGCTTCAACTACCTGTGCCACTGCTTTTAAGAAAATATGTACAAAACAAATACATAGGAGAAAAACCCAAATATATAGGTAAACCTGATTATCAAGATGTCCTTTGTTCCTTTGACTGATAGTAAGTAATCTGTTCCATGTGTTAGCGTTCGCAGGGAAATGGACGGTGACGTGGAGACCATGCAGCAGACAATAGAGGATTTGGAAGTAGCCAGTGACCCTCTGTATGTGCCTGACCCAGACCCCACCAGATTTCCTGTTAATCGAAATTTAACCCGAAAGGCTGGATACCTAAATGCTAGGAAGTAAGGAAATGGTTGCTATTTTCATATATTCTATATCTTGTAACATGAAATGAATATAATACATAGTTGATACTGTGTGCCAAGTGTTTTGATTTTACTGAAGGTAAGGTTTTTAGTGGGACTAGTATGTATGTGAACTTGTTGACAGATGCAGTCAGTACATGAATACTTTTCAAAGGAAAATTCTACCTAGGTATTTGTTGCATAATTTAGAGTTACAAAAGAAATGAAACTAATTTGAGCTTAAATCTGTCACAGTGTGAATACTATTAGATGTCATTTACGTGCTTTAAAATCTACATAATTATAACATCAGGTCAGATTTTAGTGTTCATCTGAAGAGAAGCTCAGGGGTAAAGTAAGAAGTAAAATTTGTCATTTTGAATTTATTTCCTTGGAATATTGGACTATAACTTAAATTTTATGGATCGTCATTCTAAAACAGCTGCGATTTGATAATTTCCAGCCTTGCTTTGGAAACTGCACACATTCAAACATAAATTCATTTAGAGACTAAAACAACTGTATTTATGTTTTGTTGACACTTGGATGCCTTTTTTGCAAGTTGATTCTTTGCAACCTGTTATCTTGCGGTTGGCTGATGAGACCATCTCAGGTGTGTTGCTATTAAAATGTGAATGTACTTTCTTCATTTAGTAAAACAGGCTTGGTGTCGTCTACTTGGGACAGACAGTTTTACTTCACGCAGGGTGGAAACTTAATGAGCCAGGCCCGTGGAGATGTAGCCGGAGGCCTGGCCATGGACATAGACAATTGTTCGGTGATGGCGGTGGACTGCGAAGACAGGCGATACTGTTTTCAGATCACCTCTTTCGATGGAAAAAAGTTAGTATTTTTTCTACAATTAGTGAAATCTCTAATATTTTAAACTGCTGAAATGCAGGATAATTCCTTTTGTTCAGAAATGTTACAGACATTTTAGATTCACTGTGTATTAAGATAATTTGGTTTTTAATCTTACAGAAATGAGTGAATTGTGATTTGGTGTTCAGAGCTTGGTCACTGGAAATCTTGCATAGTACAGGGACAGTAGCACAAGTTAATAGATATTGTCAACTGTACGGTTATAAAGTTCCATCTCTGAATTCCTTACTTACTTGGTAAGACAAGTTCCTTTCTCCCTCCAATCTTTGTTTTGCTCCCTGTAAAATGTAGGTAGGGGTTGTAATTCCTACTTTTAAATTATAGGGAAGAATAGAAATCAACCTATGCTTAGCATATAGAAGGGGTATTAAATAGTGTCTGTCAAATATTAAATACTTTGGTCAGATTATTTTGTCCATTAATGTTTATGATGCCCCTTAAAAATTCTATTACTTTTCCATTAAATGAAATCCATAAAGTAGGACTTAGAACAATTTTTGAAAAGCACAGAGAAATAGATAAAGGAGTTTGGGTAACTGCATGTGGCACATACCTATAATCCATCCCTGAGGAGGCTAAGGTAGGAAGATTAAAAGTTCTAGCCCAGCCTGGGTGGCTTAGCAAGATACTGTCACACAATACAAAATTTAAAAAGGGCTGGGGCCGTAGCTCAGTGTGACAGTCCTGGGTTTGTACCCCTGTACCACCACCACCCAAAAACACAAAAAACCCCCAAACAAAATCTTATTAACCAGAAAACAACAGGTAACTTTTGTTTATTGCCTTACAGTTTTTATTTTGAGCACTTTTTTTTAAAGGGTGTTGGGGAATGAACTGTGGGTCTTTGCACTGAGCTACAGCCCTGGCCCTTTATTTTTGAGACAGGATCTCGCAAAGTTGCTCAGGCTGAAAGGGAACTTGGGATCCTCTTGCCACAGCCTCCCAGAGAGGTGAGACTGTAAGTGTGTGCCACCACCCCCAGTTCTGAGCACATTTTAAAAATTGAAATTATATATATAAAATTTGAATCTGCAGCCACATTAAAAACATTTCATAATAGCTGGATTATAATATTTTTAAAGACATTTGTTATAATTTAAACATCTTCCTGATGATGGATATTTAGGTTAACTTCGATCCCCTCACATAATTAAAATGTTAATTTGGACCTCTGAACTTAATGTTTAAGAGCAGTCTGGATTCCCAGAAAGTCAATTTCCCCCTGTATTTATGCAAATTAAGATATTTTGAGGTGGTTCCCATAGCACCTGCCAGTAATCTGAGCTATTCAGAAAACTTGAGGACAGGAGGATGGTGTGTTCCAGGTTAGCCTGAGACTCTGTCTCCAGAAAAACCAACTATGAAAATAAATAAATTCAACATTTACCCCATAAAAATAGGTAGCATATCCAACTAACTTATTGAAATGGTTGTTTAATTTCATATTCCTCCTATAAATATGTGATGAATGCGGTACTATGTGTTAACTACAGTGGACGTTAGGAGTGCCTTGTTCACTTACCGAAATTACCAGATTGTAACTGTGCTAATTATTAGTGCTTATATATTTGTATTTTTAGTTTTTGCTAATGCTTAACATCCTGATTTGATTCAAAATTAGTAAAGCAATTTTCTTTGTAACTTAAAATACTAACATCTAGCTAGGCGTGGTGGCACATGCCTGTAATCCCAGCACTTGGGAGGCTGAGGCGAGAGGATCGCGATGAGTTCAAAACCAGTGTGGGCACATAAATGAGTTCAAGGCCAGCCTGTACTACATAGTAAGACCCTGCCTCAGAAAGAAACATCCCCCTCCAAATATTAACATGTATAGAAAAGTCGAACACTGCAATGTTAGTGATTCCATATGTTGAAATTTTGATTTAGCAATATTAAAGGAGAAACTAGCAATAATGTATTTTCTAGTAAGGTCTTTGATACAGGCACCAGTAACTTCAAATGCATTGTCTCAGTCACAGTGTACTTTCACGTTCTGCCTTCTAAGGACCTGTGCCTATTTCTGTTATCGCTGATCTTGGCCTAGATAGTGAAAGTCAGAGTTGAAGTTTCAGTCCCAGGGCCTCTGGCGGTCTTTTCTTAAAATGCTGATTATGTGTTTTTGTTTATTTTGAATTGTGATTGAAACTTTTTTTTTTTAGATCTTCAATTTTGCAAGCGGAGAGTAAAAAAGACCATGAAGAGGTAAATTTTTATTTAGTTAATTTCTTCAGCTATATTTATAAATACTTTTCTGGGCCAGGGATATAGCTCAGCGGCACAGCGCCTGCCTGGTGAGCACAAGGTCCTGACTTTGGTTCCTGGTACCCAAAAAAACCCCCAAACTTTCCTGAAAGTAAAACATTAATATGGTCATTATTGAAATTTTGGAAAATCCTAATGAGTTAAAAATGTCTTTTCGTCTTTTTGTTTTCAATTAACATTTTTAAGTTTCTCACAAAATGTTATAGTTGGAGGGACCTTAAAGGTAAACTCTCTGCTCTCTTAAAAGCAAAATTCAGCAGTGACTGTTGCACTCTGTCAGGTTATTAGTGTCCTGAGGTAACAGTTTAATGTAGTCCTTTCCCTGCCAACCCTTTGAGACACTATTTGCTGAAGCAAGAATGCGGTGGCAGCAGGTGTGGCACGGCAGGGAGCAATTAAAGCGTAAAACCCTGGGGAAATCAAAGACAGAAAAACAAAAATTGGGGAGTCTGTGTTCTTCCTCACAGGTATTTCCATTTTTACTCTTCGTGTACCAGATGGAGAAGGTGAGGCGCTCCAGGGACTTACATTGCGGAAACTTCATTTTGAAAAATATTCTTCCATGAAAATGTGCCATAGCTTGAGTTTTAGCCTTTTTGTCTAGTATCATAATGGTGCTAGCATAGAAAGGTTAGAAGTATGTAGAGAGCTACCTTTATTTGCTTCCTGTGGAAGAGACTTCCTGTTAAAACTTGCTTTTGGTTTCTGAGGAACACAGACAAATAGTACTGCTCTCTGTACGGTTTACCAAACAAAATACTAGATTAGTGGCGAGGCCTATCAGGCATGGAATGCTTGAGTGTGAAGCAGAAGATGTGGGAGAGAGAATGTTTTCTATGTTGAAAGAAGAGAGGTATGTAAAATGTATTCTCCAGGAAGATATTTAGGTATTTCTCTCTTTCTCTCTTTTTTTGTGTTGTTACTAACTGTGGTATTTGAGTTCAGACTGTCTTGTTCAGTGGGAATTAAGGCAGAAAGTAGTATGAAAAGGTAAATACGAACTGTTACATTGTACTTTAGCGTGATTGCTATATTTTTATTGTATGGAATAAAATTGGGACTTTAAAAATAATTAATCTGCTGAATGCACTCTTACATACTTATAGCAAGATTTTTTTCTTGGTTTTGTTTTGTATTTGGTGCCGGGATTAAAGCAGAGCCTTGGGCATGCTAAACATGTGCCCTTCAGCTGAGCTATACCCTCAGGCCCAAGGCATTTTCCTGTAAAGATCGTATGTTACTTCTAAGGAAACTTGTATCTCAGTTGACTGTTGGATGTTTTCCCTTAGAAGAGAAACTTTTTATTTAATTCAGGGCTTCATGCTTGCTAGTCAAGTGCACTACTGCTGAGCTGTATCCCCAGCAAAATGTTGTTGAAAAATATTTCTGATCACATGTTTGTTCCTTCTCTTGCAGTGGATTTGTACAATTAACAACATATCCAAGCAAATATACTTAAGTGAAAATCCAGAGGTAATATTTTTATTTTGCATTACCCAGATGTAGCAAAACTGGATAGTTGCGTGGCTATGTAGCTTTTAGTAGAGCCATCATTTCTCAAGTTTTATAATCTTTTGATTTTAGCAGGTAGCTTTTAATTTATCATGCATGTTCTGAGTGATCTTCTTAGAACAATATGTTATTTACTGGGTATTGGCTACTTAGCTCTGAATTGCGTACCATGGAGTAGGGACATGTAGGAAAATAAGCCGTGGCCTCTGCCCCACAGGAGTTTATCTTCATGGTGAAACGGAACTAAAACTTTGGCTGGACACTGGGGGCACCTGGGAGACTGGGAGACTGAGGCAAGAGGATTACAAGTGTAGGTGTAGCCTGCTTACTTGAGAACCTGTCTCAGAATAAAAAAAGGCTGAGGATGTAGCTCAGTGTGAAGGCCCTGGGCTCAGTAAAAACAGGTGTGCTCAAAACCATCTGGTGATGACAGGAGGATTCTCTTTGAAAAATGTTACCATCAGTGTGGATGTAAGCTTTAGAGAAAATTCTCTAGAGATACTGGAAATCTGACTCAGAATTTGTTTTGAGAAAAAGAAAGGACATAGCAGATAGAACAAAAACACAAATGCAGAGGTTTTGTTTTGAGGTCACTATATATTTCAGACTGGCCTTAAACGCATGTGTTTCAGGCTCCACTTAACTCACAGTGATCTCCTGCATCAGCCTCCCAAGTGCTGGGATTATAGGCCTGTGCCACTATGCCCGGTTTAGAGATTTATTTTGAAACTAGTAGTATAATTACAGGTTGTTAATGAAGACTAATAGAAAACTGAAATGTGCATACATATGACTTGAGGGTCTTGTTAAAATACATATTAAAATACATGTTATAATAGAGCCTAAACTCCTAGCATTGCAGTTATTCTTTGGTTAGCAGGAATATCAAACCTGGTGAATCCTGCAGTGTAGATGTAGCCATCGGGACAGTCCAGGCATACCAGGCATATCTGAGGGGTACTGACTACTATGGAAGGGATCAGGTGGGTCCATACTGCAGAGTATGTAGTTGGGGAAAAACGTGGCCCTAGGATACGAGCTGTCTGAGCTTCTCTTCCTGTTGGGCCTGACTGTGCCGTGAACCCAGTGTCTTCCAGGACTGGCCGGGGGTGATGATGTCAGTTGAAGGCTTTCAGCTGGGAAGCTCCACTCTTCTAAATCTGAAGTTACTGTTGTAATGGGGGATTAGCTGGGAGGGTCTAGTCTAGTTGGTAACTGATGGATGTAAAAGATGACCGAGAGGCATAAGGTAAAGATGTTCTCCAGGTTTTACACTCAAGTGAAGAGGAGAGCGATTTGGAAAAGGAGTTTGGGTTTATCAAAATGACCGTGAAGTGCCACTCGGGATACATACATGCCCGGGACGAAGTTTGAATTTAAGATGCAAAATTTCATGACCTCTAAAATATTATTATTTATTTTTGTATGTATTGGGGGTTGAACTTAGGGCCTTTACACTGAGCTATGTCCCCAGCCCTTTTTAAATTTTTAGACAGGGTCTAAGTGGTTTAGGCTGGGCTTGAATTTGCAGTCCTTCTAGTCAGCCTCACAGAGTGCTGAAATTCTAGGCATGTGCCACCAGATTCATTTTATCTCCTCCAAAATATGAGTGAGTTGTTATTTTTATTTTTTATTTATTTATTTATTTTTTGTCTTTTTGAGACAGGGTCTCGCTATGCAGTTCAGGCTGGCCTTAGCTCACTTTGTAGCCCAGGCTGCCTTCGAACTTGCAAGAACGATCCTCCTGCCTCAGCTTCCCGAGTGCTGGGATTACGGCATGTGCTACCACACCCAGCTGTTATTTTTATAATAAACTTGAGTTTAATATTAGAAAATAAGTGCTAATGGTAAAAACACCTTTTGCTTTTAGTGACTCAATCTCCTTCCTGTATCTATTTTTCCTTTTGTAAGATCACCTGAGAGCAACAAAAACTAAAATTAAAATCCAAATGTTTTTTATTGCCTAGGAAATACCTAAGGGATACAACATTTGCATTTGAATAGTTCCCACCTATAGTTCTTTTCCTATCAATTATCAAAACTCTAGTTGTTGGTATTTTCAGGTCATCCAAAACTATTATAGCTATATTAATAAAAATGGAAATTTTAATCAGTTTGTGGGATTATATTAGTATTTTTTCTAACTGTAAGATAGTGATGTAGAACTGTTGTAATTTTTTTCTAACTTAAAGACCATTTTTTTAAATTGTAAAAAACATTACGAAGTTACCATCTTGGGGCTGGGGATGTAGCTCAGCGGCACAGCGCCTGCCTGGCAAGCGCAAGTTCGTGAGCTCGATTCCCGGTACCGGGAGAAAAAACAAAAACAAAAACAAAAAAATTTATCATCTTAACAACTTAGGTTGTATAGAATAGTGTTAAAATATCATTTCTATTTAGCTGTTATTGTAAATGAAACAGTAATTATAAAATTATTTCTTACGAAAAACTTTCTTTAAAGTTTTGCAGGTCCATGATAATTGTTTTTTTTTTTTTTTTTGGTTTTTCTCCGGTACCAGGAACCGAACTCACGACCTTGCGCTTGCCAGGCAGGCGCTTTGCCAATGAGCTAAATCCCCAGCCCCGGTCCATGATAATTTTATAAATTAATAGACATATAGATATTTCTGAGTGTAAATATATTCTCAAAAATTATGAAAATATACCAGCAGAGTTATAAAATAACTTATAATTTTGTAAAAATTTCTTCCTTCTAAATTTCTTTATTTAATGTATTGAATGTCATGGTGTCAGGCACTATGCTTGGTGCTAGCAAGACAAGCTTAATTCAAAATACCTGGTAGTAGCCAGGTGTAGTGGCATAGGCATGGTGGTGTACACCTGTAATTCCAGTACTTGGGAGGTTGAGGCAGGAGGATTCCTGTGAGTTCAGGCCAACCTGGACTACACAGTGAGTTCAAGACTGGCATGACCTACATAGTGAGTTCAAGACCAGACCTTGTCTCAAAAAAGAAAAACAAAATGCCTCGCAAAAACCAAAACCTAAAAAAATCCCTGAAAGTGCCTGGTCATGAGTTTATAGAAAACAGTATTTTCCTATTATATGTATTACTAGAAAATAGTCATTTTTCTAGATTATAGGATGTAAGAGGAAACTTAAGTTTATTTCTATTTCAGTTTTTGGGACAAAGTCTTGCTGAGTAGTCCAGGGTGGCTTTTTAACTCACTGTGTTGCACAGGGTGGCCTGGAACTCAAGGAGATTCTCCTGCCTCAGCCTCCTGAGTTCTGGGATTACAGGTGTGCACCACTGTGCCTGGCTGAAATTTAAATTTGTAATGTGAAATTTTGTACCTTAATAAGACAGCGGAAGGTAGAACTACTTTAGTAGCTTTAGTTGTATTTTAAACATAACTCAAAAGCATTCTGACAATTCAGAAGACTGTATTGAAGTTTCTGGTTTCTAATATTACTAATACTCATACTTTAAAAATAAAATCAAAATAGGAAACTGCTGCACGAGTCAATCAGTCAGCTTTGGAAGCTGTCACCCCTTCCCCATCTTTCCAGCAAAGACATGAGAGCCTGCGGCCAGCGGGGTGAGTTAACAAACAGCTATTTAAAAACTACATGGGCTATTAGAAATGTTAGTGAGCGCTTTGATTTTAGCAGTACTGCTTATATTAGTATGTACCATGCTAACAGGTACTTGAACGTCAGAGAAGTGTAGTTTCAAAATAGTAAGTTTACCAGTACAGGTGCCAACTAAATGATGATTTCAGTTTTCCCTAGTGTTTCCAGTTACATGTCTAGTTTGAGGTGATTTATGTTTTTCAGTTTAAGCGGAAAGATGTCTGTTGTTAAATAGCTGTGATTGGGGGTTGTGTTTTTATTAAAATTTGCTTTACTCTCATTGGTGTAAAATACTATTTTCTTTTTTTTATAGTTAAGTGATTTCCAAAAGAGAAAAACAAATGCCCTGCCTTCTGATTTTTCTTGTTTAGACAGTCTCGGCCACCGACAGCTCGAACTAGCAGTTCAGGGTCCTTAGGATCTGAGTCCACCAGTTTGGCTGCCCTGTCTTTAGATTCCCTTGTTGCTCCAGACACCCCGATACAGTTCGACATCATTTCCCCTGTGTGTGAAGATCAGCCTGGTCAGGCCAAAGCCTCTGGCCAGGGAGGCAGGTGGGTAATGGCAGTACAGGGACATTATGCTGTGCTTTGTAAGGTTTATGATTCTATTTCTGTTTTTGAGTCATCTCCTTCACACCAGGTGCATCAGATATGCTGTACTTCCTTTAATTACCTAATGTAAATTTAATAATTAGGAAAGACTCATACATGCTTTTCTCTTTATCTGCTGCCTCAGTTAAAGAAGTTAAGATAATCTAATCCCAAAACTACTTAATTCTGAGTAGCTTATCAGGTTTACTTCTTGGACATTTGCTCTGACAATTGCAGAAGAAAGTTGATCTTTCTATTCAAGATTGTGAAAAACCTTCTGGGTAATACATGTGCTTTAGATTATTAGAAAATAATGTTTTATTAGAGTAAGAAATGCTTAGGAAGTTACAAAAACATTGCTGCTGTGAGTTATTAATGAGCCATCTTTGTTTTTTTGGTACCCAGAATCAAACTCAGGCCCATGTACCTGCCAGGCAGGCGCTCGTGCCACTGGGCTATATCCCTAGCCTTGACATCTTTTGTTTATATGAGGAGGAATCTTTTTGTGAAAGCACTTACTTTCTTTTCTTAGGCTATAGATGAAGAAAATGTGACTTAGTATCAAATCATTTAGTAAGTAGATTAAGACTTAATAAATTGGATAAATTAACTTGGATATGACTGTGACTAAGCAAAAATCACTTATATTTGACCACAGAAATAGGCTTAACATTTGCTGTAATAGGTCAGCATGTATTAAAGAGATGAATTTTCTGCTATCTTACTGCTGATATTATTTTAGAACAACTTAGCTGTCTGCTTCCAAAAATACTGTGAATTGTACTTTGCTTTATTGTGGCTGTCCCACAAGCCAAGCACACTAAGGAGAAAAGTAGCTCCTATCTTTATTTTCCTTCTTTCACTGTTACTTACACTTTAAGAAATAAGAGCTTTACTTTATTTTGTTTTTGTTTTTCAGCAGTGTTGGGGATTGAGCTCAGGGCCTTGGGCATGCTAGGCAAATGCTCTGCTACTAAAAGTAGAAAATGCTGAAATCATTTTATTTAACTGACAGCGTGTACTTAAGAGAACCTAGGGCAGGGGATATAGCTCAATGGCACAGCACCTGCCTGCCAAGCACAAGTCCTGAGTTCAATTCCTGGTACCAAAAAAAAAAAAAAAAGACAGAACCTAAAAATAAGCTTTCATAGTGCCAGGAAATCCCTGAAATTTTTCTCAAGCAGCTATGATCGTAGCTATGTCAGGGTGCTTTTGTTAGCTTGTTTAAATTCAACAGCTTTTACAAGATGGGTTATTATGGCGTTGAGGTGTTTGCTGTGTGTGCCCGAACTTCAGTCCCTCTGTGCATTCCAGAACGCAGCAACATTGGGTTTACCCTCTTAGTTAGCTCAGTGTGTGAGGCTAGTGGTCATACCATAGCACCTTGGTCATTAGTATTCCTCACCAGGACAGAATGATATAGAGCTTTTCTTTTTAAGATGTATGTACAAAGTTTTGTGATTTTTGGATTTTAACTTTGGTTTCAATGATTAGATATCTTCTCTGTGGCTCATGGTAACTGAGCATTTATTAATTTTTTTGTTTTTGGTAAATTTTTCAGGCGTACAAATCCATTTGGAGAATCTGGAGGAAGTACAAAGTCTGAAACTGAAGGTACAACAGATATGCAATATCCCTGTATTGTAGAACTATTTTTCAGTAGTAAACTGTATGAAGAATTTGTCACTTACATTTGCTTTGTTGCTGTGCTCAGTTGTAATGTGTTATTACTTCAAAATTTATCAATTTAGTCAGAGTTCACTCACAGCAACAGAATTTAATGTGATGTGAGATCATTATTCACACATTATGTGGTATCATCTACTTTGACTTCATAGTCCACTTCTTAATGTGTAAGCTACCCTTATGAGGTTTTTCAAACAGCAGATATTTCACTTCTGGTCCTGGAACATAACTTTTTAGTTTTCCAGTAGCTATTTTTTTAAATATAAATTCCAACTTACAGAAAAACTATAAGAATAATGCAAGGAATTCTTTTTACTCAGAACCACATTGTTGAATGTTACCCTAACCTTTGCTATTCAAGTTTGAGACATTAATTTTCCAATAACTTGAACACTGTAGTTAGGAGTTATTTCTAAATACCTTCTTCAAGTTGGATTTTTCATGAAAATCTAAGAGGAGCCAATATGTTTTATTACTTTGGAAATGAAATGGGTTTATAAATACATAATTACCTTATTCTATTATAGATTCCATTCTTCATCAGTTATTTATTGTCCGCTTCCTTGGCTCTATGGAGGTGAAATCAGACGACCACCCAGATGTTGTCTATGAAACCATGCGCCAAATCCTCGCTGCTCGGGCCATCCACAGCATCTTCCGCATGACAGAGTCGCATTTATTAGTTACTTGTGACTGTTTAAAGTAAGTGACCCCTCCCTAAAAAAGCTTGTAGGAAAAATATTTACATAATTTCAGCTTAACTAAATTTTTTTTCCCAAATTTTAAATTATTATTGTAGGTTAATTGATCCACAGACACAAGTTACAAGGCTTACGGTGAGTTCCACATGACTAAAGCTTGCTTTATTTATTTATTTATTTATTTAGTTAGTTAGTTAGTTAGTTAGTACGTACCGGGAATTGAACTCAGGACCTTGTGCTTGCCAGGCAGGCGCTTATGCCACTGAGCCCGTGATTAAAGCTTTAAGTCCCTTTGTGTGTGTACACATCTTCTAACTTACTAATAATCCTGATCCTGTATATTCAAGTATGATAGGTATATCAGTTGTGACTGGCCTTTAGGCTGTTATAGTTAAGTGTCTGGCCCATCTCCAACAAGTTATAATTGAACATTCTGTGTAACTTAAATGAATCAATTTTATCTGGTGTGATACTAGGTATTTACCCCTTAGTTAGGAAGCTTAAATCATACATCAGAGAAATTAGCAGTAGGAATTAAAATGTGAACATGATTATTTTATAATTACCTATTCTGAAATTACTGCAAGTGTGTATTTAATCATTTACCTAAGTAGATTTTTGTCACTGAATTTGATTTATAAAATGTGTTCATAACTAATAAAATATTATTCAGTAACCTCTATTCTCCTTGGTAATCCAAACCAAAATATATTTGTTCTTAGATTACCAGTTTGTTAAAAAAATTTGATTTTAAAATTGTTCATAATATTTTTATAATAACATATGAGTTTCTCATGTATGTGTGCTGCTGTAATGATTTGGAAGGTCTCATGTTTACTTCTGATGTTTTCTGTGGCAGTTTCCTTTGCCCTGTGTAGTTTTGTATGCTACACACCAGGAAAATAAGAGGCTTTTTGGATTTGTACTGCGGACCTCCGGAGGGAGAAGTGAAAGTAATCTGTCATCTGTCTGCTATATATTTGAATCAAACAACGAAGGGGAGAAGGTATCTGCCTTTTCAAAATGCTTCTGTTGTGAAATACGTATCATAATCACAGTTTTTACTGATTGTTTTTGAAAAAGCTCTCAGCTTTTGCCTCGTGTGACAGAGCTGCACTCTCAAGACTCAGACTGAAGGAAATAGAAAGTGTTGGTTTTGGGCTGAAGAATCCTTAAATCAGCTTTTATTTGAGGCAGTGTATTCTATTCACTTACAAAGAGACATTGCTTATATCACTCACTGAGATACTTAAAATTTTTGCTTTTATGTGAGAACTGAAGTTTTCATGCTTTTTCACTTTTTAGATTTGTGATTCTGTTGGACTGGCAAAACAGATAGCTCTGCATGCTGAACTGGTAAGAATCCAAGAGATGCTTAATTTTCCAACAATCTTTAATCCAGGTAGTGTGATATGACTTTTTAAATACTAACAAGTAAATAACATGATTACAAGGTTAACAGCAGGTGCCACTGCTGATACCGCGTTCAGAGTCTGGATATGTGTCTACTATAGGGTAGCAGTTATGGGTGTGCTTTCTTGCATGTAAATATTTTTAAAAAGATTTTAAAGGTACAAAGGTCATACTAACAGATGTCAAAAACTTAGTTATTTGATGTGTAATTCATTAGTTTTATTCATCTGTCCTTAGGATCGTAGGGCATCTGAAAAACAAAAAGAAATAGAGAGAGTAAAAGAGAAGCAACAGAAAGAACTCAGTAAACAAAGGCAGATTGAAAAGGTATGCAGTCCCCATGTCTTGATTTTCTTTTTATGCAGTGTTAGTGAAGACTGAAATTTAGTACTGTGACTTTCACATTTGAATTTCCAATGAAGGTCTGTATCTCCTTGCTCACCTGCTTCATAACCAGATGATGCGTAGCATAGCATGAAAGGGTAACATCTGAATTCTCCTGGATTTGCACAATAGCTATACTGGTTTGTAGTGTACAGTGTGACTTGCTGCTAAGCAGACATACTAGAACTTTCATATAGGCTTTATAGATTGAATTGCCATTGCTGAAAGCCAGACTGCTCTCTAAGGGGAATATCACAGCCAGGAATGTCTATTCATTGTCCATTCCAAAAGGGTCATTTTTAGTGCTTGAGAACAAACCCACAAAAGGGTAAGGTGACTTTACACAGTTTTCAGGGCAAATCTTGGTTAAATGATCTGCGAGACTGTAAAGCCTGTTACAGTTGCATCACTGACCATAGGAGTAGCACAGAAGAGGAAGACACCTAACGGGACTGGTCGGTGAGATGGGAGTGGGCTGGGTATGTGGACAAAGAAGGGGCAAATAGCGAAGGTGACATTAAAGTCAGACTCCTCAGTAGCCTTAACTGCGAAGGTGAGGATGTACTTCAGCCAGATAAACTGGACAAGGATGCACAAGTGGCCCGGAGGTTTTTCCTGAGGTAGCAATTACTTGTGTAGTGTGTAGTGACAGATGAAGACGGCCTGAATTTAGTTGTAGGCCATACAAAGAAAAAGAGGAAAACAGCCAAATTTTAGTCTGAATGTTAGCCCTTACAGGCTGTCTAGAATGGTACCAAGATCCACTTTGGAGTTACATTGGTTGGGTAGAGCCTTTTTTTTCCCCCTCATCAAATTGCCAAAATTACGTGTACATATTTCTGACCAAAGAATTGGAGCGGCTCTCAGGTGTGTAATTAACTCTGCTGTTTTCCCGTGGCTGCACAAAATGTAACTTTGTTTCTTTTCTGCCTCTGTACTAGGACTTGGAAGAACAAAGTCGGTTGATAGCTGCTTCCAGTAGACCAAACCAAGCCAGTAGTGAAGGGCAGTTTGTGGTCCTGAGCAGTAGCCAGTCGGAAGAGAGTGATTTGGGAGAAGAGGGAAAGAAGCGAGAGTCAGAAGCATAACCTTCCCCTTGGTTTTGGTTGATTCCCTTCCCTTAGAGTTCAACAGTTTCTTTGGTGAAATGGCACAAGGTAACAACTATGTTGAAATAACACCAAGTTTGTATTTGCTTGTTTTAGCTTCATTAAAAAAAATAAGGTTGATTGGAAAAAATAAGATTGAACTTTATGATTTAGATTTACACTGACTTTTTTTCCTTAAAAATAATGTAATATGCATTAACAAAGTTTACTTACCTGCTTGTTTCCCTGAATACATCGCTAAGGAATTAGAGCTTTGCTGAAATATTTTTTTCCTTAAATTGCCAATTTTTTATTTTGCCTTGTAATTGGCCAAGCCTATAAGAAAAGATTTATTCTGCAGATTCACATATTCATGGATGTGTACTCTCCCTTTCATTAGGAACATTTGCTTATAGTGAGGAAGCATTCAATTGAAGAAGTTTAAAACTTTCTACAGAGAATTCTACAAGGTTGCAAATACTTTAACAATATTAAATGTGCAATAGAATTTGTATAAAGCCATTAGGACAAATGTTAGATGTAAGGTTTCTAGGTGTGGCAGGTGGTACTATAGATTTCTAGGCACTTTCTTGGATTGCTTACATTTCTTTGCTAGACTATATCTGATGCCAGAGGAAAGAAGCTTAAGTGTCTTCAATTCAAGATTGATACAGGGCTTGGCATTAGTACCGTATTCTTAGTTCTCAGGTTGGGACTTCAGTTATTGCTGCAGAGCAGTAATGGGTTAAAAGAGGACTTTGAAATTCATTGAAAGTGATTTTTTTGTTGTTTTGCAAATACATTTTAGATTATGTGTAAAGATGTTACAGGAGAATACATTGTATTTTCAGCATTGTGTGAAATAATTTTTATTGATAATCAAATGATATTTCAAAAGAAATTCTATAACAATTATGTTACTGCTTAAAGTAAAATCCCCAGAGTTTAGTTTAGAAAATGTAATCTTTTAAATTTCAGACTTCCCAATATTTTCATAATCCTATGTTTTGATAAAGTACTGAATCACCACTTTATATCCACAAAGGCAAATAACTAATTTATGAGCATAAAATAAATTGCACTAATTATTGTAAATACTTCTACTTCTCAAATGAGTAAAAGGTCTAATTCCATGAAAGACTGAAAAGGAATTGAATGCCTGGTATAGTATAGAAGTTGACTAAGGAAAGATTTTAGCTTGGTCCTAAGGTTAAAATGACATTTCTGTACTGCTTTTATGTCGAGACTGATTTCTTTTTTGTTACTCAGATTTTAAACGTGGTTGATAGAAGTTATGCTCATGTTCCACATGAGAAAGTTTCCACATAAAACAATTGAGTAAAATATTTTACATAATTAAACGCCTACAATTCATGAGGCTAATTTTATAAGGGAAAAGCTTTTTGTTCTTTGATATGTAGTTTTAGGTCTGAATTGGAAATGGCATCTCTTTTAGTTGTTAAAATATAACTCATCTGTTTTCACACTTTGTATGTACATTATTTTCTGTAGGAACGCAATAGATAATTATATGCGGTATCATATATTCTTTTTATCTGTGTGCCAAATGGCCATAGTGATTATTTAATACTCTTCGAAGCCGTATGTTACCAAAACATATAGTCAACATGTAGAAATTTATGGACTACTCCTTGATTAAAGTTCGTTTTGTGTTTACTAAAGGGGTGCTTTCTCAATAGCGTATCATTCCTTTTGTTGAAGTTGAAATTTCTTCTGTGGTCAGCACCTGATTGGTCACAGCAAGTTCTGCTCTTTAGACTTTTTTTTCGGATTGGTAATATTTCTGTTTCATTAAGTCTTTTCTTTATGTAAGTTGTTGCCTCAGTTCAGATGAAATCTGTTGCTCCACGAGAAAGGTGGGTCATCGTTAAGAGGTGGTTTTACTTGGTGGTCCTTTGCATGGTAACAGAGTGGTGACCTTCATTAGCATCCTAGGTCAAAGTATTGGCTGGACTTAAGGGTACTTGCAGACTAGGGATGCTAGACAGACATACAGTTCCTTTTAAGCCACATTTCATAGGAGTTCTCATACATCCATGTCCTTGGGTCAAACCAAAATGCATTCCAGTGCCAAATAGAAGTTATGAGTTGATTCACGTTTCTGTTCTAATACTATTGAACTGTATGAGCTCTTATTCCATTATTGCAGATTTGAAAGCATCAACTTTAGTAAGCTCTCCCTTTTGTTTATAGAAGGTTACTTATGGCTTTCTTCCTAATGTTAAAGCTGATCTGGTACTGTTTTATCCTCCTGTGAAATCCCTTCTATCCCTGGGATACTTTGATGGTGATTGTGTTAGATTTGGAGATAACCTTTCTCTGACTCAGAACATGCACTTAACAATTTCTTAGAAATCAAAAAAACTGCTTTTTTTTTTAAGAGCAGAAATTAAGCCCACTTAATTCTGCTGTGCATTCTGCCATATACATGAACAGTAGTTTTGTAACTGTGATAACAGTCAACAGATAGGAAATCATTTATTCCTGCATCCTTTTAGAATTTCAAAACCTTACTAGGGACTAAAACATAACTATAGAACAGAGTACCTAAATTGTCTAATTTTTGCTGTGTCTGTAATGATTGTGTTTAATATCAGAATTTTTAGGCTTCACAGTCGAGGGATAAAATTGTTTCTACTTTAGAAAGGACACTAGAATGTGCAAAAGGTAACACAATCTTGTTTGGTAAAGGCATCTGAGTCAATTTTGATTAGGAGCCACAATATTTAAAACTTGAATCTTACTGTAAATGCTAACAGACCCTAAGAGCATATTGTAAAACCTTCTGCTACCTGAATCAAATGAAAATATTAATGTTTGTTTTGACAACAACCTCCTAGTGTTTGGATTGTACTTTAAATATTTAAGCATACCAGTTACAGCAAGCTCTTTGTTTTATTTTTAACAAGTTTGGTTAACTCTTTCATGAGATTTTTATTCTACATTAATTGATAGCACTGGAACCATATTACACTTTTAACCAATCTCTTGTGACTGTTCTCATACATAATTCAGTTAATACTGGGGATTAAACTATAACTACTGTGCAGAATTGCTTTGTATATTGGGTGATACTGTAATGTAAGTGAATTGGTTAATATTTCACTGATACTGTTATGCAGTGTGCAGTTAAAAGTCATGCAATGTTTCCCTTCAGAATTGGATTTGAAGAACTCATCTTCATGTGATCATGGTATACATGTGGGGCAGAGAATTTATTTTTTCATTTTGTCAAAATATTTGCTGACAAGGCTTCGGGAAATATCTTGTTAGAAGATTTTTTAATGTATAATAAAGTCCATGATTTTTGTACAGTCTCTTTGGTATGAAATATTTGATATCTACTCTGAAGTTTATTTTTCCAAGTTATTACAAATGATATTTTACATGTGTTATAACATAATTACACATTTAACCTCACTGCAGTTCCATAGCAGCTGAAGTGGAAAAAAGTGTCCTTTATTGGGGAACATTTGTTGCAGAAGCAAACCAGTTCAACACAACTTTTTTCTTGTAGTAAAAGAAAGAGACTTCAATAATTACCAAAGATATGTTCAGGTGATGTATTCTGGCTACTGTTGAGTTCACTCACAGAAATCCCTCTAAAGGTACAGGTTACCGTGTGCTCCAGGTTGGGCGGCTTAGACCTGTGTTCTTAATACTAACATACATACACACCCTGTGTGCCCTTTGTAGTTTATCGTAGCACTTACCAAGTTCCATTGGGAGTGTGTGTTCTAATTTATATTGACTTTTATACACTTTTAGAAGGTCAAGGGAAGAACAGATGAAATTTAGAATTACATAATTTTTCTAAGTGCGTGTATATACTTGCGTATTGACATACATGTCAGTTGTTTATGAGCACACAGAATTTGACTTAAAAAAATAAAAACTTCATGCCTGCTAGTTTTGCAAATTTCTTAATGGGCAAAATTATAAGAAATATTTAAAAATCTGTACTAATAGAAGTGTTCCATTAAGACTAAATATGAACATCAGAGTTACAGCTGACCAGGCTGTGGTGAAAACAGACTGTCACCCTGCCTCTGACCGTCCCTCTCGCTGTGCTGTGACACAGCTATGGCCAAAGGAATATCGTCTCAGTTTTAGAAGACATAATCATTTAAACCAACATTCTCTGTGTAATACAGTGTAGACTGCACAAAGCACAAGTGTAAACCCCCACTCCCAGTCCAGGACCAGGCCAGGTGCGGTATAGAAGCCACGAGCCCATCATTTATTTGAAATGCTTTTAATTCCCACCCTAGCGATCACATTAACCAATCACTGTAAGTCATCACCAGGAAAGGATATGGTTTCCCTCAATGATGAAGTTTCAGTTAAAGTTTCTGTCTGGATTAGCTAAATTATGTCAACTCTGTATTTGACTACAAAGAAGCTGTCAGACTCACAGCTGGCATTGGGACTTGTTAGCACATCAACAGCCAACTTTCACATTATGTAGTGGGTAATATATAGATACGCAGTTCAATCACTAATACATATATGTTCTCTATAAAAAAGATTACTGTTCAGAATTACCCTAAGTTGTCAGAAATGGCATCTGTTATTCTGAGCACAAAGAAACTGGATGAATGAATATAAGAACAATACAAAATTAGAACTGGTATATTTCATTCAGTTAATTGAAATTTTTACTAGTTGGTGTGTGTGTGTGTGTGTGTGTGTGAGAGAGAGAGAGACAGAGAGAGAGAGAGAGAGAGAGAGAGAGACAGGGTCTTGCTATGTAACCCAGGCTGGCATCAAACTCATGGTGATCCTCCTGCCTCAGCCTCCCAAGTGCTGGGATTATAGGCACATGCCACCACACCTGGCATGATTTGGGTTTTGCTTTTTTATACTGCCTTTAGAATTCTAGCCATTTATATGTTGAGAGGTTCTGTTCAGAGTAGTGTTTCAAAGAGTGTAGACTGCATTGAGATTTTAGTTGGTATAAAAATAAGTCAAAAAAAAATTTTTTTTTTTTGGTCTTTTTGAGACAGGATATCACTATGCAGTTCAGGCTGGTCTTGAACTCACTTTGTAGCTCAGGCTGACGTTGAACTCACAACAATCCTCCTGCCTCAACCTCCCAAGTGCTGGGATTATAGCCGTGCACCACCACGCCCAACTGCCAAGTCAAGTTTTTAAGAAAAACAACCACAGAATTATATACCTTTTCAGCTGGAATAGTTAGATCACCAGGTTCCTGTAAAAATTCCTTGCCCATAAAGGTCATATTCTTTGTAAAGGATGTATTCTTTAAGACGATTGGGCAATGGGAGAAATGACATGAAAACAGGACAGCGCAAATGTAAGCGCCCCATACACTTGCGGATCTTTAGGCGGCACAGATGTTTTAGGGAGCGAGGGTTTGCTAAAACGAAAGAAATAGACACATTATTCAAAAGGAAGAAGAACTGCTTTATTTCTTAGTGATCTAAGTTAGTAAATGTAAATGTATTTGATATTCAAGCCACCAGGATTTGTATTTACTGTGACTACATGAGCATCCGTTTTCCCTGTAAACCTTTGTGTAGATTTGGGTCAGGGCGGAAGACACGTCAGTGGTGGGTCTGGCCTATGAAACAAACGTCCCTAAGTTTCTGTTAGTGCCCGCTCCTGCCCCTCACAGGCAAGCTCAAAAGTGAAGATCGCCCAGGAGCAAATGAGATAAGAAAAGTTATTTTCCTTATGTGCTCCTTTGGAAAAATTTAGTTTGGATAAGGGTCTTTTGATACCTTCCATAAATTTAGATCTTGTGCTTTTCTCATCTGTTTTTACTGTCATTCGTAGCTTTTCATTCCTGTCTGTATGGTTGCTTTATAGCCATGGCGTAAGTGGACTGAGAAAAAGTGCATTACCTGCCTATATAATAAGCACCTAGCACATTTTTACCTACTAGAAAATGGTAATAATTACAAATTAAGTTAGGAACAGTAACTTGCTTTGTTGTTTTAGAAGGAATACTATTTTTCTGACTTCTCTTGGTCAGGCTTTCAACCAGCAGAAGGTTCTAAAAACAAGAATACAGTTAGTACTTTGTAAGCGTTTTCTACAAGGAAGATACTTACTCAAGATAGAATGTATTTCTGACCAGAGCCCCTGTTTTTGGAGCACAGCTTTCAGTTTTGAACAGATCCGAACTTGAGCAACGTAATCAAGCATCACGCGAACAACCTTTCCAGAGAGATGTTGCAGCCATGACAAAGTTATTACTTCACAGAACTGAGGGGGGAGAAAATCAGTAAATGAAACACACTCCTCGTCTGTGACGGGTGAGCCTACGGCGCACGCACTGTAGACGGCTATCAGTGAAACCTCTGAAAGGTTCACCGTCGCTGCTCTCCGAGTTAGCCTACTGATCAAAAGAACACTAGGCTCAAGGTCAAGAACCAAGGTCAGGAGTTTGTTATCTGGTCTCTAGACCCAACATTTGGAAAAACATTTACTACTGTGTCTTCAGGGTCATACAAGATGAAATGAAAGTATGACATTCATTTTATCTGTAAGCCCCTTTGCTTGGTCACCAGCCTGTAAGAAAGAGTACCTTTCCAGCTTTGCTTGCAGCTAAGTGTGGTCACCTGACCACGTTCTAGCCAGTGAGATAAATCCAAGTCTGCGCGACTCTCCAGTACCCTTAAAGGAGAGCAAGACGCGTGGTGCTTCCCCCTGCTTGCCTTCTGGCTCGCTGGAGTGGGGATATGAGGCTTTCCTCAGTCGTGTCTGTCCAGTTAGATGTCTCTGTACTTCTGGCCTTTACATAAGTGAGAGTGAAATGAGCCATTTTGCTTTTGAGGCAGAGTACGTAGGCCAGGCTGGTCTCCAACTTGTGGGCTTGAGCAGTCAACTCACCTCAGCCTGTCGAGTAGCTGGGCTACAGCTGTGCCATAGTGCTTGGCTGCTGACTTGTTAAAGCTTTCGTTTTTGTTTTTTAAAAATTGTTTTAATCCTACCTAGATACATGAGGGATATTTATGCCTTTAAGAAATTTACATGCTCTTTGACATGATTCCCAGATGAATATTCAAGTAATACGAAGTGAATCAACTAGGTAGTGACACCAGATGATAAACGTATGCCTGAATGCCAGGTTATGGATGCAGAAAGTAAATCCTATATTAATCACCTAAAAGTAGTAAATCATACAATATAAAAATATTTTGCCTGTCACTTTTTAGAATTCATTCAAAGTGCTTCCCTCCGATTCACTGTTTCATTTCTATTTTTAAATGTTGGGAATATGAATTAAAGTATTTACAGAGCATCTAGTTTTCTCTTAAGTGCAAACCTGTAAGCACCAGGGATATAGCTCAGTGGCACAGCA